GGAGAAAAAGGAACCCTCTTGCACTGCTGGTGGGAATGCAGACTGGTGCAGCCACTATGGAAGACAGTATGGAGTTTCCTCAAAAAGTTAAAAATGGAACTCCCATTTGACCCATTGATCCCACTGCTAGGAATTTATCCCAAACCAGAAACACCAATCAGAAAGGATACATGCATCCCTATGTACATAGCAGCACAATTTACCATAGCTAAGATTTGGAAACAGCCTAAGTGCCCATCAATGGATGAATGGATTAGAAAACTGGTACATATACACAATGGAATACTATGCTGCTGTAAAAAAGAAGGAATTCTTACCATTTGCAACAGCATGGATGGAACTGGAGAGCATTATGCTAAGTGAAATAAGCCAGGTTGATGGTGACTTGAAGAAAAGAGTATGACTCTTGTTAGTAAATCTTTACTGGATGAAATAGGGCCTGGAAGTAGGTGAAGGGCTAGTTGGGCTTTCTTAGGACTATATGAGACCACTATATTGAATGCTCAATCCTTAAAGGGCAGGAAGTTACAGCCAGCCTTACTTGAAGAGAAAGAAGGTAACTCCATCAAGTAGTGAAGAAATCTAGAGGCTGTGGAGTTTTCAATCTTACCTTCTTTATCTAATAGTAAATTTCTGACTATAAACTTAGAATCTGTCTTGTTAATTAAAGAAATTATAAAGTAGAAAAGTCTTATCAGTTAGTGCTGAAAAGTGTCACAATTTTTATGCAGCCTAAAAACAGGGATTATAATATTTATTAACTTATAAAATGGTTGCTTTGTGTCAGTACTTGTGGAGAATGTCAAAAAATAAACTGTCTCTGACCTTCAAAACTTGTGATGAAGGAAGAATAGGTTAAGGTCAAAGTTATCATGAATCACAAATAAATGAAAGAAAAGAAAGCTCAAACTTTGAAACCCTTGTGACCACTTTCATCTCTACTCTGTACCTTTGCCTCAAATTTTTCTTACCTTTCCTTGTTACTCACTTTTTATTTTTATTTTGTTTGTATTCATTTCCTGTATTTATCTTTGTTATTATTGCATGTCAAAATAGTTAGCTTCTACAGCAATTTATTTCAGTGTGTCTTCAAGTTAATCTTGCGAGACATCTCAAAAGAAACTGATTTTAATTTATTGTAATGTTTAAAATACATGCCACAAAGTTTTGGAAGGAAAGAAGTGAGCCTGTCTTTTTTATTGGGTATTGAATGTTTAGACAGTTAATAAATTGACTAAGATGGTGGAAAAATAGATTGGGTCTGTAAATCTCAGGATATTCACTCTGAAATCAAATTATAAAAAAGTAGCAAATTTCTTACCCTTAAAAAAACATTGGGTAAAAAGTATTCATTCTTATATTTTATAATCCATTACTATGCTTTTTGGTGGGGATGGATACTTCTTACTTTTCAGCTCTTTTTCAGGGGTGGAATTTAGGGAACCAGAGGATCAGAAGAAATTAAGCATTTATCCTTCTGTGACTTTTTATCTCTTTTTCCTTAGGTGACAGTTGACAAATGTAGTCTTTAAAAATTACTGTTATTTTTAAAATTAATATATTGCTAAAATTATGTTTCTTTTGTCTGAAATAGTTATGGTTCATATTTTCTTTTTCATGTATGACATGATTGGAATTACATGAATCTTAGATAAACATTTAGTTTTGTACATGATAGCAGTTTTAAGGTTTAGATTGTTTTTAATTTTTCTGCTTTTTATTTTTGTTAGTGCAAAGCAGCTGGTCCGAGGAGAACCCAATGTTTCGTATATCTGTTCTCGGTACTATAGGGCACCAGAGTTGATCTTTGGAGCCACTGATTATACCTCTAGTATAGGTAAGTACCGAATCTGAATATAAATGGCTTGTAACTATTAATTGAATCTTGTTTTCAGTAATTTAGTATTAGTAATCTATACTTTCACTTAAATATAAAGATGGGTATACCCTAAAATGTGTTTTTTCTTAATGGTTGGTATGCAAAAATGTGTATAGTATTTAAAATTTTAAATACATTTATTATTTACTTTTAGGTTTCATGGATTTTTCAAATAAGTAATAAAGTTATTTATGATTGCATGATTTCTTTATGATTACCTCTGTTTTTAACTTAAACTTTCAAATAAATCCTAAGTATACATTTTCTTTCCTTTTTGTTTCTTTTAAATTCCCCTGAAATACTTCTGAGCTTGATCAACAGTTGGAGAATTTGCATTCATTGTTTATCATGAAAGTAATGGAATGACCGTATTGTTGACATCCTACTATGCTGTCTCAATTAGCTCTTTAATTTTAATTTAGATATTTATAAAATAACCCTGACCTTTTTTAAAAATATGTTTTTATTGATTTCAGAGAGGAAGGGAAAGGGAGAGAGAGAATCATCAATGATGAGAGAAGAGAAAATCATTGATCGACTGCTCCTGCACGCCCCCTACTGGGGATCGAGCCTGCAACCTGGGCATGTGCCCTTGACCGGAATCGAACCTGGGACCCTTAAGTCCGCAGGCCGATGCTCTATCTATTGAGCCAACCCAGCTAGGGCTCTGACTTTTTCTTTAGTAGTTTGGCTAAACCCACTAAGTCTGTAGAAGTTTTCATGAAAGATTTTTAGTGACAGAAGGAATTGAATAGAGACAGTTTCCTCCAATCTTTACTAACCTTCTCTTCTATCTTATTTTTGCCCATTAGTAGGAGTGAACATGGAGAGTATGATCATGTGGACATGAATAGGAAGCTAAGTGCAACCTTAGGCTATGTGCAAGTGGAGGTCAAATTTATTTTATTGTTATATATTATTTCAGAAGAGAATTCCTTAGTCAAAAACAGAAACAAAAGCTTACAAGTACCAAGCAAACAAACAATAAAACCCAAACTTCAGTAACAGAAATCTAGGAAAAACCTAGAACTTGGACAAGTTTTGTCTTTTGATACAAGTAGAAATTCTCGGATATGAACAAAGACCACTAAACAGAAATACACTAATGTCAAAGAGCAAAATGCCCAGGGAGCAGCAGTTTTACCCACCATTTCTTTCACACCACCAGTGCAAATATGAACACAGTGAAGAATGCAGATAGCATCTTAGTATTCTTTTGAAAGTAGCTTTGCCCTTCAGGAACAGTGAAAAGGTTCGGGGGGAGGGGGAGGGGGGGGGCGCGGCTGGGCTCAATAGACCATACTTGAGACCTGTGACACTGAAGGATAGAGAGTATATTTGTGTTTTTGTGTGATATGTAATACTCAAAGTTTCATCACGGCTATGTTATATGACATGTTAAGGAGCACATAAGGATATTTTGGTTTAGTAGAACTAGATTTGAGTTCCAGATTTATTACTACTTAGCTAAGCTATAAAGTGGAGATTACTAACATTTCTGCCTACCTTTTTGAGTGGCTATGAGGATTAACTAATGTTAATAAAACATTAGTGAAAGAACTATAGAAGTGTAAGGTACTATTCTTTTTGTGGTATTTGCTAACTTGACTCTCCCAGAGACCAAATTTCAGCACTTTATTTTTGGAGATGTCATTGTATTTTCCAGCTGCTTTGTATTTTATTCAAGTATACACCAATCATCTGCATACCAGGTATTGGGATGGGTTGTGCCTAGGTAAATGCAATTTGCTTTTTTCAGAAAGTTATGACTACATCTTCTGACACATTAAGGCATGTTTATATAAACATTTGACCCTCTTAAGTGCATTACTTCTATAAGTGTCCATGTGCCCAGAAGTTCTTTGGAATCTTCTCAGACAAAAAAAGGACAGTGTAGTCTGTTTTCTCTATTAGAAACCAATTCTCTGGGTGTTTGGAGTACCTGTTTTCCAGTAGCCTCCTTTGCATGGCTAAAGCCAGATTCTAACTTCTGATTTTCTAGGCTTGGGACTCACCATTATGCCACCGACTTAAGCCTGAGGCCTTTTAAACCCTAACAAGCCTATATTTGGACTCCCTTTTTATACTTAGGCCACTTGCCTCTTAACACTCTGGAATATTTATAAACAGACAAAAACAAAGTTATTTAGAAGTGTACTAATACAAGTACATTTTAAACGATAGAAATATTTTAAACGATGTTTAAAGTGAAAGAGTAGCTGGTTCTGACTAGTTTATTGTCATATTTGGATATAACTAGAGCTAAGACTGATGGCTCTGATTATATTGTCTTACTAAGAAATGGTAGAATGAAAACAAATGGCTGCTTTAAGATAAGGAATAGGCTTACAGACCTGTGAAGAAACAGGTATTCTGTGATGATAGTGACATTGGAATTGGGATCCAGGCCTACTTCTGCTATTCAGTAGCTTTATCTTGGACAAATCTTGGACTTACTTCCTTATCTGTGAAGTAAGTTTGTTAAACTAGATAGCCTTGAAAGATTGCTTTTACCATGAATTAAAGTATGAAACAGAATACTGTTTTGGCTTAAACTCCAAATAACCAGAAAATTCAGTGTGCCAAAGCACTTTACTTTTTTGTGCCTTTTGTTTAGTTCTGTTTTATTCTTTTGGAGAATGTCATCCATTTGTCCTCTGAAGTAATAAGAACAGAAGAGATTTTGGTGTCTGCCAGAAAGTGAATGATAAATATCTTGATTTTAGTAATTTGCCTGAGTAAACATGTATTGAAGACCACTAGTATAATTGCCATCTGAATGTTTTGATTTAATCTTCTGTGACAACCACTAAGCAATAGTATTCCTTTTTTTTTTTTTAGCAATAGTATTCCTTAATGTTTTACTCCTTGTCTCCCATATTTGTACCTTGAATAATGCCTAAGAAAGTGTTTCCCATTTTTGTTTTATGAAATTGTAATTATTTCCCTGCAATTTTTCTAGACTTGTCTTCTGAGGTGAATTCTGTATTACAGAAGAAAGAAGTTAATGCATATTACCTTTCATCTAATTAGCTAGGTAAAGGGATATTTTTAAACCTAGATCAAAATAAATCATTTACATTAATAAAGAGATACATTTTCCCACTTGATTTTAAGAGTTAGTATTACTATAGGCTCTGAGTAAAGTAAACATTTCCTAGCAGATCTTCATATTTGCTTTATTTAACAATTACCTAATATATCAAGGAGGGCTTGTTTTGGTCTATGGTTGCAAAATAGGTATCTTTGTTGTCAGTACTTGAAACTGGACAAAATCAACTTGAATTTCTTAAATGAATTTTATGTCATTTTTCTAGGTTAGTAAAAAGTAGTCACTGGAATAAGGATTTTCAATTCTCTCTTCATAGTGCATCTTACCACATCAGACCTCTTAAATTATTTGTTGCCCTGTGCCATTTTACTATTCTTCCTCCCTGCTGGTAGATGGGAAAGCCCAGCAATGATTATGTTCATCTGTCTAAAGCACTTGATTGTTGGTTTATACAAAACCCAGCAATCTCAGGCATCCAGAAACTGAAAATTAGCTTTACCTTGAAGGAAGACTTAATGGTGGGTTATACGTAGAGTGACCATATAATTTATCTTCCCATTTGGTAATACTTTTAAAGAGAAAGTATATGCTGTTAGTAATTATTCCAGGGCAGTAGATTTAAACCAGGACCCTTTGGGGTAAGCCAGATGTATGCTTTAAGTTATGTTTTAATTTATTAATTACATTTTTAACAGTTTTTTCTCTCAGGGATTAAGGTTTCCACTTTGACTTAAAAATGAATTATTTTGTGCCATAACTGGTTTGGCTCAGTGGATAGAGGGTCAGCCTGTGGACTGAAGGGTCCCAGGTTCGGTTCCAGTCAAGGGCATGTACCTTGGTTGCGGGCACATCCCCAGTGGGGGGTGTGCAGGAGGTGGCTGATCGATGTTTCTCTCTCATTGATGTTTCCAACTCTCTATTCCTCTCCTTTCCTCTCTGTAAAAAATCAAGAAAATATATTTAAAAAATGAATTATTTTGTTATTTGTGAAATAAAGTATATTCTTCTGTTTTTACATTTTAAAATGGTAATATGTTTAAGGAGGTTTTTTCTATCAATATTACAACATAAAAGTCAACCATTTAAAGTCCTAAATTTTTTTTCTCAGAACTTGCATTGACTTAAAACTCTGTGTATAGGATCTTGAACTCTAGGTTGCTGCTACTCTGTAAGCATGTGCTAATATGCAGAGATTGTGTCACTTGCCTTATTTTTAAGTATGATAAGTAGCTAATTTCACCCTATGTTTTGGTACTGTAATTACCTGTCTTGGTTGTTGAAGACTCGGACACCTGATATTTGATAATAAATAGACTTTACCTTTTAGGGGAATATTATGATTGGTCTTGATTTCCCCTTTAGTAAGTTTAACACTTAATTTTTAAAATGCATTAAGAATAATTTGATGACTTTTTTCCTTTGTTCTAGATTGTACAGTCTTTTGCTTGTGATTTTTTCTGTGATCAAAGTAAAATTAAATAATTTATACAAATATTTTTCAACTCAACTTAAGCTACACAGTATTAATAAGCCTTTGTTTTGTTTTTCTCTTCAGACGTATGGTCTGCAGGCTGTGTGCTGGCTGAACTGTTGCTAGGACAACCAATATTTCCAGGGGACAGTGGTGTGGATCAGTTGGTGGAAATAATCAAGGTGAGGTTGAATTGGAATTTTGAATTGGATGGAATTTTGCTACTATATTCTAAGAATGCATAACACGCACACACACACACACACACACCCATGGAAGACTTAAAAAAAATGGAGAAGGTGATTCAAGATCACATAGCAAGTTCTGCTGTAGAGGAAGTGTAAGAACACAGCCTTTTGGGCTCTGAGTTATTCTTCTGTTGTATGATCCTGGAAAAGCCATTTTGGATTTCTGATGCAAAGAAGGGATATGTCTGTTAATTAAAGTACTTAAAAACTAGAAGATCACTAAATGTATATAAAGTGAATAAAAACAAGCCATGTCTGTTTTTTCTAACCATATACTCTCTCTTCCTGGTACTTTGCTGAATACATAGGAGATGCTTGTATCTATTTAATACATAAATATTCATAAAGTGGAAGACTGAATATCTACATGTATGAGGACACAGATAAAAGCAGAATTTTGATCATAGGTTTACTATAAAGTTATTTATTAGGTCTATCAACACTTTCATTAACAACACCAGATTCAAAATATTATAACTTGGAATTAATGTTTATCTTAAGAACAGTAGGGGTGAGATTATAATTGAGTTTTTAAATGTAAATTTTAAAAGCTTTTAATATTTGAGCTCTTAAAGAATTTCCGACCCCTCTTTTTAAAAAATCTAAAATGTATGTATTGAGATCACTTGATGGATTCATTCTAAGGTTACGGGTTGACAAAAGCAGCAACTCCTACTGACTTTATTATTGACTAGAGGCCCAGTGTACGAATTCGTGTACCATGGGGTCCCTTGGCCTGGCCTGTGGGATCAGGCCAAAACTGGCTCTCCAACATCCCCTGAGGGGTCCCGGATTGCAAGAGGGAGCAGACTGGGCCAAGGGACCTCCACCAGTGCACAATTGGGGCCAGGGAGGGATGCAGAAGGTTGGCCAGCCAGGGAGGGACCACGGGAGGGCTCTAGGGCATGTCCGGCCTGTCTTGCTCAGTCCTGATCAGCCAGACCCCAGCAGCAAGCTAACCTACCTGTCGGAGCGTCTGCCCCCTGGTGGTCAGTGCATGTCAGCATCTGGTCGACTTTCTGCCCCCTGGTGGTCAGTGCATGTCATACTGAGCGGTTGAGCAGCCTTAGCATATCATTAGCATATTATGCTTTGATTGGTGGAACGGACAACCGGACTCTTAGCATATTAGGCCTTTATTATATAGAATTTTCTTGGAAGTGAAAAATTGAAAAATCTCCTTAGAGGTCATAGTCCAGTCCTCCATCCAATGCCAGAACCTTCTTAGTTACATTCCTAACAGATGTTTTTTTCAGTATTTTCTTGAATACTTCGAGCTTCTGATGGCTACTTTCTGTGTCTGCACAGCTTGAGTTCAGTTTTATTGTATTGAGCCATAACTCCTTGGTAGCTTTTACCAGTTATACACAGGATGGTAATTGAATTACAGTGGGGCCTTGACTTACGAGTTTAATTCGTTCCGTGACGGAGCTCGTAACTCAAATTACTCGTATGTCAAATCAATTTTCACCATTACAATGAATTGAATGCTGGGCTGATGTTGTGGCGTTCACTGTGACGTTCGCTGCGCCAATGAGCGGTGGGGTATCTGAAGCTGGCTCGTAACCCGAATTTTAGCTCACAACTCAAAGCAAAAAATCGGCCGAGAGACGGCTCGTATCTCGAAAAACTCGTTAGTCAGGACACTCGTAAGTCAAGGCCCCACTGTACTTTGAAATCCTTGTACTTCATTCTATAAAAATGTTACTTTTGATAAGGTGATTTTGTTAGATATCAGTTTATGCAAGTGTGGTTGAAAAGATCAGTGTGTATTCAAGAATCTTCTTTGCTGTCCATGTAATTTCTTATGGCTTGTACCTGAGACCACTAAGATAGTTACACTCGTTTTTTGAATAACTACCTCTTACCTTTGTTCAACAGTTGTCCTTCCTTCTGGATTCCCATACTATACTCAAATCTAAATTCACATATTTTAATCTTTTTGTTTCCTTAAAACCTATGTATTCCCCATTATCCAGATTAATATTCTAATGCAGGCATTGGCAAACTTTTTCTTTAAAGGACTAGATAAAATATGTCAGGCTTTGTGGGCTAAAATGCAAATCATAGAGAGCTATAAGGAGAGAACATAAATTTCCACAGATCTTTTTATTGATGAAATTCAAAATATAGTAATAACTAAGTAGAATGTTTTTGTAAGACAGTCTGCTATTTAATATAATGGAGTTCTTTTTGTGGACTGTATCATTTAGTTGGGATTAAAGTTAGTGTTCACTATCATCAAATTGATTGCAAATGATTATCCAGAACCCATTAATATTTCTTAAATGTTAGTGTTTTTAAAAAGTGACCACAAACTAAAGGAAACAGCCCCTAAATCTTATTGTCATGAATATACAGGGGATTGGCAAAAATAAGTTTATAGTTATAATATAAATCTACACTAATAAAAGAGAAACATGCAAATTGGTGTCACTCTGCTACGCCCACCAGCCAATCAGAATGACTATGCAAATTAACTCAACAAAGATGGCGGTTAATTTGCATATGCAGGTGCCGAGCGAAGACTGAAGGCTCCGGCCGGAGTGAAGACTGGAGAAGCCAAGCCTTGCTGTGGCTGGATTAAAGGCCTGGGTCCCGGGTACCAGAGGAAAACTGGTGCTGGCAGCCAGGGGAAGGAAGGCCTGTTGCACGAATTTTTTCGTGCAATGGGCCTCTAGTAGATAATAATACAAATAACTATAAACCTATTTTTGCCAGTCCCAGTACAAATCATTTTGACATATCTTTGTGTTTCATCTAAAATAGTCAAGATTATTATGGTGGATCTTTGCTTTTAAGTACAGCTTAACCTTATTTTTACCGTATTTTTTAGCAAACACTTTGAGATTTTCAGTTATCTCTATATTATGATTTGTTCAGCACCTGTGTGCCTATACTCTCCTTTTCCAGCTTAACATTTTCACTATCAAATAGTCTCAGAGCGATCAAAGATATTAATTAAATCAGAGTTTAATAAGTATAAAATACTGTTTTCCTAAGTTTTTGATAGATCAGTGACGTTATCTTTGCCAACATGTGTTTGGAGTTTAATTATATGTTACCTGGTGACATTTCTTCTGTTGTCATATTATGTGTTATTAACAGATTGCAAGGACAACATGTTAAACTTTTTTCTATCTTTCACTCCCCAGAATGTGTATGTACACACCATTACACCTAGTGGTACTGATTTTTACTTGTAATATATATCATGTGTAATATATAAACAAAATATTTGATTGCTTAATTCATTCTTATATTATTTAAAATTTTCTATGTTTATTACTGACTAGAAAAAGCAACTTTTAATAGCTTTTCAATCATGGACCACTTTGAAAATCTATTCATAGCATGGATTCTCCTCCTGAAAAATGATACACGCCTGAATTTTGCATATGATGTGAGGTGATCCTTGGGCTTTCTGAAGCTCTTCCAGGAACCCTAGGTTAAGGGTTAAGTTTTAAAAGCTTCATGCAGCTGAATTGCTGAAGTTTGGCGACCTCTGGTGTTGACATATTGAAAAACAAGGCTGTGAGAGAAATACTTGTATTTATTTCATAGCTTTTGTCAGATTCTTGCCTTTGTTTTCTTTCCTTGAAGATAAAAATCATTAATTCCTGATTTGATGTTATTTAGTATCTTGATAAATTGTAACTAAATGAATGAAAAAATGTTAAAACAGTTGTGGGTGGGACTGGGTATAAATGAACAAATTAATTTAATCACAAAAGGTGAACAGCACCCCCAAAAGGATGTGTAGGCCGATCTCTGATTCTCTGGGTTTTTTCAGCAACTCTCCTCCACAATGATTCAGGATAATGAACTGAAGAATAGGTGCTTTATTTCTTTTTCTTTTTCTTTTTTTCAATAAATAGAAAGGTCTTATTCTATTATGGATGATTGAGAATACATATTCTTCCCAATGGTGTGATGATTTTAACATCTCCCCTTCCCTTTATTTTAATTGTGTGAGATATCATACTTACAGAAAAGTACATAAAACATTTGTGCAGTTTTATTTCCTGTAAGTCATAAAGGAACTCGGTTTTTTTAGGAAATCCAGAAATAACTTGTTTTGTTTTAAATCTTTATTCAAGGATATGTTTATTGATTTTATTTTTTAGAGAGGGAGGAAGGGGCGGTGAGAGTGAAACAAGACCTTTTGGTGTATGGGATGATGCTCCAGTCAACTCAGCTACAGTTTAAAAGTTTTTAAAAAATGATGCGTTCAGAATCTTTGTTCTTTATAATCCTTTTCAGTCTTTAAGTTTGCCATCCATCTATTGATCCAGTCTTTATTCTCTGAATTAACAACTCAGCTGTTACAGTTATCCAAATCATGCTGTTTTCCACTTCATACCATTGTGCAGAATGTGTTTCTAATTCATTTGCTTCCTAGATTCCTTAAATAAAATCAACTCTTGGCTCTCCTTCCAGAACCCTTCCTGAATCCCTTCCTCACTTCAGTTCATTGTGGCATTTTCACCTCACACATAATCTATGCTTATTTTGTTGTATTAGTTTTGGCTGATTGTAGTTGTTTTATGTACAAGTCTTTCTGCCCAAGAGCTCCTTGAAGATCGGAACTCAATAAATGTTTAGACTAAGTGAATGAGTTAAGAGGCTTAAAGAAATGTTTTAAATGTCTCTCAGTTATGTCTTACCTTTGCATTCTTACATACTTTTGTACCTTATATCATATCTTTGCTTTCTCAGACTACATATGTTATATATAAAATAAAATAATTCTGATTTTAGGGTTTGATAGACTGATACTTTTAATGCTAGCCTTAAAACAAGAAGGATAAACTTAGGGTTGTATTTAGTGTAGAAAAGGCATCACAAATTACATAATGGTCTATTTTCCTTTGTAAATTAATTTCATAGGTAATTTACATGCAATAAAATGGAGCCACTTTAAGTATGTAGTT